TAAAAGCTGTAGAGATTCAAAAAAAGTGATAATCCAGGGAGCCCGTCTACTTTAAATGTCTAACTTCACGCCGTGTTTGAAGGTAATGACCTCACTTCACTGTTGTGTTTTGGTCTTCAAAGATGAGCTTGTCGTCAGCTCGGGGTTTGTTGTTTTCCACTTGCTCAGCAGTAATGCTCTCTCCACCTCCACCTGTCTCTCGGTGTAGTTTAAGGTGGAGCGATGTGCAGCGTGTTTCGGTGTGCAGCAATCTGTTTTGATAGAAACATACTGTGTACACCCACATTCAGTGTGTGCCTTGCTCTAAAGGTTTTCGTGTGTGACTGCAACAAAGCAAATCCTGCTACATCTCTTTTATGAATAATTACTATAATTTGTATTCATGATTGGATCCAGAAAAGAGTCTCTCTATTCCTCTTATTTTTCAGTTTGTACATTTTCTGTATGATACCTCTGTTTTTCACTGCTTGTGTCTTTCTGATATTTCTCCTCTCTTTTTGCCTCTGTCTCCACTTATACTTATCTCATGCTCTGTCTTTCATTCTGTGAACAGCATTTGTCTTTCTCTCCACTAAACTTTCTATATTTCTCTTTCTCTCTTATGTATCTTTCCATGTCTCTGTTTTTGCATGCATGTTTGTTTTTTCTGTATTCTGTTTTCAATGCACGTGTCCATCATTCTGTCTGTAAGTCTCTTTCTCTTTCTCTCAGTTCCTGGTTTCGTCTGTTTCTCCTTTCTCTCCTGACCTTCTTTCCTCTCCCTTTCTCCTTTCCACCTCTCTGACTGTGATTTCCTCTCCATGTTTTTGATTCCTCTTCATGCTGTCACCGTCCTTCCTTTGCCTGCCTGCCTGCCTACCTGCCTGTCTGTCTCTCAGGCGGTTGCGTCTTTGCTATCTTAATGTTTTTTGCTGTTTGGCTCAGGTTCAGAAAGTTCCCAGAGGCTAAGTGTTAGTGCAGCCAATGGCAAGACGGGCCGTAAAAAAAATGCTGAGCAATTAGACGTGATGTATGTCTCCCTACGTGACTGCTTTGGTAAAGAAGGAGCATCCTCCTGCAAGGACAAAGCCCACCCCTGCGTGTGTGTGTGTGTGTGTGTGTGTGTGTGTGTGTGTGTGTGTGTGTGTGTGTGTGTGTGTGTGTGTGTGTGTGTAGTTGTAAAATAGCAATGAAATGTCAATGCCAAGTTGTCTTCTGTCCTTCACTGCAGTATTGGAAGAGCCCGTGCCATCGGGTATGTGTTTGTGTTTGTGTGGGTTGGCCTTGCCACCATGTTAACGCTTTGTGTCCTGGAATTTTCTCCCCCACCCCCCCACCCCCTCTACCTCCCCTCTTCGCTCTGCAGTTGCCATGGCAACGCACCAAGAGGCTCCATCATGTGTCTGCGCCTGTGACCGCAATTTTATAACGGCTCACAAGCACTGGCTTTGTGTGTTTATATTTCTCCTCGTCTTAATTTAGCTTTTGATCATGATGCTGGATTTGCTGCGATGTGACGCTGAAAGAAAAAAAAAGTGTTTGGCGAGTTCTCTCGGGCTCGGCCTCACTTGTCTCACAGGAAGAGACATCACAGAAACAACGAGTCGTTTTGAGACGTTTTTTGACGATTCGATCGAGTCGATGATAAGGGAATGTAAGATTGAATGAAGATTTCTTCTTGCACTGATTCATTTGAGAGCTGCAGTATATTCTCACCTCGAGCTCTTCACACTGTGTTTTTCTGAAGATTAAATTCATATATTACAGTCTTGTTGTGGCAGGAGAACTCGTCGGGCGGGAAAATAAAGAAATGGGAAATGTCCCTCAAAGTAGCTCTGTTCTCCAATCATAAGAGACCTGGATGGATGGCATTGATAAATTACTGAAGGTTTTGCATACATTATTATATGCAATGTTCTCTAAATTAAGGGTGTACAATATACAAAAGGTCAATGAAACATTTGCCCATATAAAGTCTTTATAGCTACATCGGTATCAGGACTGGTGCAAGCACTGTGCCACTCAAGGTGATAAGCAATTCCCTGCCATCCCTCGTCCCCCTCTGTTGTGCTTAAATAGTCAGCAAAATTACACCATGCAGGGGTCAACATATGGGCATTTTTCAGCTCCATATACATATAAGAAATGTGAGGTAACAGGTATGCATAATACCTTTAAAAGCCTGGCTCAAAACGTATGTACAGCTGGGTCAATACAGCATGTTCAGCTTTCTTCTCCAACAACCACATTTCAGCCCCCTCAAAATAAACAATTCGAGAGCAAATCTCACCCATACAACACCTTCTTGTCTGGGAATGCACACACTAATACACACATGAAGTTTGTCCCATAATATTCAAAACTTATATGACTATAGACAAACAAAAGCTTATAGCCTACCTTTCTGGGGGGTAGATGGCAAGCTTTCATCCCAGCAAAGGCCTTGCCAGTCCATGAAGTCTCATTGTTTGCTCTGGTGGAGTTTGTGCCGTTGTCATCTTGGTCGGGGGTGAGGCTTTTTTATCCAACACTCTTGAGATTAATGTATCTTAAAACCGAGTCTCTCTGTTTTCTCCTTCCAAATTCTTCAGTTTTATACTCATATACAGAACAATGTGGTTGTTTAAACATGCAGCGTTCTTAGCAAATCCTCACATGTGTTTACTCTTGGTGCCAAACTAAGCTGGTGTCATTAGGGCAGGCTGCCACTGGCTCATTAGAGACGGGGGGCGTGAGGTGGGCGTAGGATGTGGCTGCAGGAGCCGATTGATGGAATTATTTCTAAGCAATTAATTTTGCTTACAGAAAGCCTACCATAATGTGCAGGCAGAACTGCAGCGGGTTACTTTGCAATTTCTTCTTTGCATTCCATTGTGCATTATGCATACTCTGATGCAGGGATTTTATGAGCCCTCCAAACTATTGTGTACAGCTGTCAAGTGTGTAGGAAAGAGGGGTGTGTTTAAAATTCGGTACATTGTATATATGTGATCACATCATTGTTTTTTAATCTTTGGCCTGGTTTGCCAGGATCTTACATGTTTTTACTTTATCCTGCAGAAGTCAATTGATGTTAAATGACAAAAAAAAGAATGATTTCAGATTGATTCTCCAGAAATCCCTTTGTCGAAAACACCATTTTAAGCTTTTTTAGAAATACAAGTATTTGTGCTTAAGCTCAAAGGGCTATTCTGAGTGCAATAAAGGGCACATGTTCAGCCCGGAGGCTTTGGATTGAATAGTTTGGTTCTTGGTGTTTGGTTGGTATTGGTTTATAACAGAAACATTACAAACGTTCCCAAACTCTCCCCAAATAGCCGTTCGTGCCTTAGCAGCCTCCTAAAGCAAAACACTGAATTTCCTGCCTGATCAATCATTGTAAGTCGCCCTGGATGAGAGTGCCAGCTAAATGCTGTGAAAGTATTGAGGCCTGGAGAAAGAGGCAGACTGAGCTCTGCAGCCTCTTTTATGTTTCCCCTCTCATGGGCTCAGTTCCATTTTAGACGACAGGGCAAGTGGAGCAAGGCCGTCGTAGACTATAGAAGTGAACCCTGGAAAGCTAACTTTTTCTTGTATGTTATTATTTTCTGTCATTACATTTCCAGAGTTGCAAATATCGAGTTATTTTTGGACTGTTTCCATGTTCCTGTCCGTTCCTGTCTGAGGTGTTGTGTGGGTGTTGATTGGTTCAACCTGGATGTCTGAGCTCGAGGCAAAGTCAGACCGTCAAACAATTGCAGTTATGTTCACTCCACATGATCACATCATAAAAAAATCATAGAGAGACATCTGGCTTACAATCCTGCTCTAAAGGAAACAAATAAAACCACATTAAATCTGTCTCACTGTTAGACATTAAGTTCTTCATATGAACATGATTTATTTTGTATACAATTGCAAAATTGCTGTTTAAACACAATTTAATTATTATAAGTATAAATACGACAACAGTGTTTCTTTGTATTGTAGTTTGTATTACCTGATATTGAATATTTCACTGTTAGAAAATGAATTGATTAAGGGCTGCACAGCGAGGTGGTTCCTGGTTCGAATCCCCGTCGGACCTTTGTGTGTGGAGATTGCATGTTGGTTCTCTTGAGAATTGACTTTGCTTATTATAACACTAATACAATCTGCCTCAACTGCGTCTAGTAGTTGTACATTTTTCTGTTTTCCTGCTTAAATTTTACTCTAAATAAAAACTTCAGTTTAGAAATGGTGCAGAATGAACAGGCATTTGTTTTTGTATGCACTGTACTGTACACTCATAAATGAATGATTTTATTGTGTCGATAACATCAAAGAGGTTTGCCTTAAACAAAGAACAAATCTCTGCATCAACTTAAAACTAGTAATTGAAATAATGTAATTAGGTGAGCATCTTCTGCTGATCAGATTCCGCTTGCTGATATTGCTTGAATAAATACCAGTTAGCTTTGTTTTATTGGGCTGCAAAAAAACCTGTCGTTCATTTTTTGAGTGTTGCCCAGAACTTGACTGTATCGTGTTGTTGTGCAGAGGGTTTGTGAGCATGTTATTGCAGTGCAATCCTAAGAAGTCCCTGGTGTTGTGATGTCCTCGTTCTTCTTGGGTTGTCTGTTGATTAAATATGAGTCCCTATGCTCCCCACCTCATTCTGTATTTGTTAAACAACACTGTGACGGCTGATTTTGTGCCAACTCTTTCATTTATTTTGAAAACAGATAAAAAGCACATCACTTCATTTCCTTTTTTTTTCCCCCTTCGACTGTAAAGCCCTGTCTGACACTATGTAAAAGTGTCCCTGAACTTTGAACTGGTTGAATCACTGTTGAATGGAAGCAGTCAGCTAGAAGTTGGTATTGGATGTTAGTCATCTGCACTTAAAGTTCACTCTACAGTCACCGTGAATCACAGCTAGAAATACCTAAAACATGTCAAAGTGAAAACTGTACTATCCTCGGAGGTGGATTTCCTGTTAGAAGTTCAAAAGTTATCTGCTTGGTTACTTAACTTTTATCCATCTGTTGTCGTCTTTTCAGGCCTGAGACCCAGCAGAAAGCCCCGTTGAGTGCCCCTCCTCCCCCGCCACCCCCTCCGCCTCCCCCTGAGCCGGCAGGGCCCCCGGAGCCGGAGGAGGAGATCCTGGGCTCCGACGATGAGGAGCAGGAGGACCCCGCAGACTACTGCAAAGGTCAGAACCACACACACACACACACACACACACACACACACACACACACACACACACACACTCAAGCCTGCTCCTTTCTGTGATTCTTTCCCTCCCCTCTCTCTCTCTCTCTCTCTCTCTCTCTCTGCCTCCCCTCCTGATGGGATTTGCAGCAGCTTTGTCAAAGCCATCATGGTAGTTGTGACACGAGCGTTTCAAGGTTGTTGTGTTGCTGAACAGGAAGAAGCAGCAGTCTAGTTTTCTGCAGTGACTCTGCACAGGAAAGACTGTCCTTCCACTCTGAGGTTTATGTTTGTTACTCCTGTAAATACTGTAGAATATCTGCTGGTTAAAGTAGCACAGCATGTTTCCAAAATGATTTTCTTGGTTTCAGTTTTAACACACTAAAATGTATTTTAATCAATACATCATGACGAGTCTTTTTCGGTTGATTTCATCTCCTGTTATGAAAAATCTCACAAAGTACTGTGAGATTTTTTTTTAAAAGAGAAACAAAGACAAACTGTTTGATGCCATTTCAATGAGACAAAAAGACTGAACGAAACAAGAGAACATCACATCATTGTGTTCTGGCTTCTTTTTTCGTTCTGATTCTTCTCGCAAAGCACATTTTAGCACCCTTCTTCTTTCAGTACATTTTAAAGACTTTACAAAAACCTCTAATGCACCGTGTCAGGAAGCACATATCTGATCATAATTCACAGCATTTAATCACAGTGTTAGTATCTCAATCCCCACGTAAAACTTGTTTTGTGTGCTATTTTACAGACTTTAAAATCACACATTTACTTACGTTGATGTTCAGTGAAATATACCTACAACTGATAAAACCCTGGCAGGCTTGACTTCTGCCTCTGCCAGCTGGTAGAGACTTTATTACAAGAACAAAGAGGGTTGTAATGTCTCATGTAGGTAAATATATTCAGCTGAACAATCATTGATATTTTTCTTCTGTAACCCCAAAACAAGCACAACCCTAAAATGACATGCACATAATAACACAGTTATTTTTTCTCTGAATCCTTCGATGTCTTCACCTGATGTGAACTTTGTAGTCCTCTTTTTAGAAGGCAGAATTTTTTTGGGCGATATTGGACCAAATTGAATAATGCAAAACGGTGTTAAAATGCATGTGCATTACATATTTTTATCAAACAAAGTTCATATGTATGTGTGCATTTACAAACACCATTTTCATCAGAACAGTATCTAACGATTCATTTCATGATGGATTCATCTCTTGATTACTTTTTAATTTATAATTTTTGGCCTGCATGTTGAAAAAGAGAGAAACATTCAAATCCTAATATCTCATTTTCTAAGGTGAAGTTATCAAATGTATTTCATCAACACAGGTGAGAGCTGTGACCAAAGATGCCAAACATTTTGAATATCGAGGTTTTCTGTCTTACCATCAAATGGTCACTAACACAATATCTGAGGAGCGCCCTGAGGGAATTTCTTTGGCACAAATGTATACACACACTGAAGGATGACCTGTTTGGATCTGGAAGTCAAGGTCAAAATCAAGGTTACTGTAACTTCAAAAACAAGAACAAACTCCCAAAATCATATGCTGGTAATTACAAAATATAAATCAAAATTTGGTTTAAGACCGACTATATTTTCCTCTTTTTCATGTGACTGTATATCTCTCCCAGTCCTGAACTCCTCCTCTGTAGTATAGTCTCTTAGGGAAGTGAGGCGTAACAAACTGGAATCGAACATGTTATGATAGTGACAATGTCCTTTAATCCCTAACCATAAACTGTATCAAAAGTGGGTCTGGGAGCTGTTTTCAGTGGGTCGTGAAGGTGTTCCTTCATGAAGGTGGCCTGGAAAAAAAAGTGGCAAAAAGTATATTAACCGCTTTTAAACATGTTTGTTTTGTTCCATGTCTTTGTTCTGTCACATGTTTAACACCTTCTGAGATCCAGACTGCACCTTTTTTTTTTCATTAAATAAATCTGATTGGTTGAAAAACATCAGACATTTGGGTTGCGATTATTCATGAAGGAGTTGGTGGTGGGTCCTGAGACTAGACCAGAGACTAGACCAGTTAAGAACCATTGATCTAAACAATATATATATATATATATATATAGAATCATTTTAATTGCCTCTTGACTGGGAAGTAATTATATGAAGTTAAATTATTGTTGACATTTTAAATACCATCTGAGATGTAAGCCATGTTTTAAACATGCGCTTTAACTTTTAACTCTGTAGCCGACATATAGACTAAGTCTAATTGCAATGCAGCTAAAACAAACAAGAATAAGCAAAATGTCCTCAGTAGTTTTGGTGCAAGGCTACAAAGTGGACTACTCACACATGTTGGTCTCTATGTCTCCATGCAAACATGACATCAATAAGAATCTTTGATTATATTAAGTCACAATTTAGATCTCAATGTACACCGCAGCCCAGAGTGTGTGCTGTATGTGAAAATATCAATAAAGCTTAAAAAAAAAATCAATAAATATATTTTATTTTGGAAACAGGAACATGCTAACATTTAACATTTTCACTTGAAAAATGTACTTATTATTTTATTAATGATCAACAACTAACCATTTCAGTCCTTACATTTGCTTTAACTGCACCCAGAAGTTTAATAAAGTTTTTCATTTGGTTACTTTATAGATGCTATGTGCTTGTTGCAGTATTTGTGCTTTTCTTTTCTCCTGCGTCTACTTATTAGTTCATCTCTAACACTCACTTGTCTTGTTCTCTGACAGCTCATCATCCCTCCCTCTCTGTGCCCCCCCCCCTCTCCCCATCCTCTTCCTCACTAATGGATTTCATGTCATTGCCTGGTTATCACTAACAGTCCCCTGTAACCTTCATCTTCTCTCTCTCCTCTTTATCTCTCTCAGGAGGGTACCATCCGGTGAAGATCGGGGATTTGTTCAACGGGCGGTACCATGTGATCAGGAAGCTGGGGTGGGGCCACTTCTCCACCGTATGGCTGTGCTGGGACATACAGTGAGTCACACAAACACACACCTGCACACACACACACACACACACACACACAAGCACACATGCACACACACACACACACACACACACACACACACACACACATGCACAAACAGCATAGGATTCTCAGTTGATCTGATGCCTTAAGAGACACAGACATACTTACCACAAAAAACATCATGACCTAGAAGAAGCCCTCAGCACTCCTCAGCAACCTGTCAGACACCAGCACATCTCTCACACACACACACACACACACACACACACACACACACACACACACACACACACACACACACACGTGTGCACACACACATCCGCATTCAAACACGCGCTCTCCTTCAGCTAACCTTGCTCCTCACACTACCATACAGTACACACATCATGCAAACCACACAAACACCACCTCACATGCACCTGTTGGCACTATCTTGCACGTCATCCCAACGACAAACGTTGAAACCAACACCACACTGCTTCAGAACGAAAGCCATCCGTTTGAACTATAATGTTTTTTTTTGTTGTTTTTTTTCGTTCACATGGCACCTAGGATGGACAGGTCACAGTATCGTCAACCCAGTGTCACCTTTCAGTGAATGACACACACGTTTACCTGTGCCACTGGTGTTAATTACACTAATGGTGTTCATATGGATCATGAGATGGAGTAGAGTTACTGTACGCACACTGTGCAGTCAGACACATCCCTTAAATATGCAAGAATGTAAATGAACACTTGTTGGATTCAGAGTTTTAGTCAACTTGCTGACATGTTCTTTAACACACCTGAATATACGTGAGAGCCATTTTTATGTTTCTAACATACGACCAACTTTCTCTTCTCTTGTCTTGTCTTTTTATCTTTTCTTCTCTTCTCTTCTCTTCTCTTCTCTTCTCTTCTCTTCTCTTCTCTTTTTCTCTTCTCCTTTCTTCTCTTCTCTTTTTCTTTTCTCCTTTCTTCTCTTCACTTCTCTTCTCTTGTCTTTTTCTCTTCTCCTTTCTTCTCTTGTCTTTTTCTCTTCTCCTTTCTTTTCTTCTTGTTCTCTCTTCTCCTTTCTTCTCTTCTCTTCTCTTTTTATCTTTTCTTCTCTTCTCTTCTCTTTTTATCTTTTCTCTCTTCTCTTCTCTTTTTATCTTTTCTCTCTTCTCTTCTCTTTTTCTCTTTTCTTTTCTTCTCTTCTCTTTTTATCTTTTCTTCTCTTCTCTTCTCTTCTCTTCTCTTCTCTTTTGTCTTTTTCTCTTCTCCTTTCTTCTCTTCTCTTCTCTTCTCTTCTCTCTTAGTATCATCATCAATGTTTTAAGGCTAGAACTCGATTGTTTTTTTGATTTAAACAACTAGTTATTATATATTTTTGCCAACTGGGCCGCTTAATTGCAGTTCAACAAAACTTCATAAAGAAAGAAACTCTAAAGCATTAGCCGCTCTCAAAAGCATAACCGGAGATGCGCCCACATGATGTAGAGGTGTCATACAGGTGTGAGTGATTTGCATTCAAAACAAAGTCAGCGATATCATTTAGTGTTTTCTGCAATCGGTTACATTCACTCGGTCATTGATCACTGCTGACTCACTGCTGACTCAAAACAACAGTTTAAAAATGCACTAAGCTAAAAATAAGGACGGTGTTTGAATGTCATCACTTTGCAGTTCTGCAAATATTGAGGCCAAGCACGCTGGGTTTAGTATGCATCATTGTCTTCTCTCACTTTAATCAGATCGTGAAAAAGATACAAGACACAGAGATTAAGTGAAGCTGCTCCTAGACAGGAGTCTATCTCTGATTGTTTTTGTTGTGGGTGGAATATACTTACAGTATTCAAAAATCTTATCTAACTAGAGTCTGCAGCCTGAATGCCGTTCATTTTGGGTTCATATGGTGGAAGGTTTCAGAAGCACTACTTCTGAGGAGTTAATTGGGAATTAAATGTTTCGGGTTTTTTTTGTAGTCTTGATTAAAATATGTTCCTTAACACACAACTTCTTTGAGAACAATCAGATGTGTAGTCACAGGATGGATGTGTTAAGGTCAAAAACAGAGGGTTCAGGATTGATTCCTTTGTTTTGAATATAAGGAAATTTCACTTTAGAGCTGGCTCTTTAGCTTTTGTAATGATTTTTTATTTAAAATCTGGAGTCTGCCCAGAAACGAGACCGAGTCAAAATTATATTTATTCTGAGAAGAGACCAAGACCTTCAAAGGCCAATTTCGAGTACTATAATACAAGTATTTTATGTTTAGTTTCTACAGATTAAAAGCAGACAAATGTAACATTGGTAGTATATTTCATGATCATTTTCTGTTGTGTGTTTCTGTGCATATGGTGATCAATAAATGACTCATCAGTAGCTTGTAAGGAAACAGCCCTGCGAGACCCTGCCAGTTAAATCATTTGATGCATACAAGTATGCTGGTCTTGAGAAATATTGTGTTGGCTGTTTAGATTTTCACTGACTTCTTCCTTTAGTGGTAATGTAATAACAAAATGTTATGTTATAAAATGCCACAAAGCCAAATTTGCATTTCCAGAGGCAGTGTGGGCAGTGTGAACCACAGCCAAGCAAATGTGTAATCAAAGCAGCTGCTGCAGGACATTTTCTATCAAATCTACAACAAGGACAAATAATCTGTCATTACCTCTTTTATTTATTCACCATCCTTTTTTCATCTTCCCAATATCCCGTCTCTTCTTTTTTCCTCATTCTTTTCTCCACCCATGCTTCCCCTCTTCACACCTTGCAGTCCCTCCACTCTGAATCTCTGTTGACCAAAACGCTAAAGATACACCGGCCATTTATCTTGCATGCTGAATGAATTTTTCAGCATCTTCTTTCCCTGACATCCATCTAACTCAGCCCCTTTATTTTCTCACCTCTCTCTTTTTCCTTATCCCCTCATCTCTCATCTCTTACTCTACCTTTTGAATTCTCCTTCAGCCACCTATTTCCATCTATCTTTCTTTTCCTTCTCTGTTTTCCTCCCTCTTATCTTTAGTACTTTCTCGTTTCCTTTTCTTATTGTTGTCTCTCCTTCGTCCTCTGCTCCTCCTACCTGCCATGTTTGCTTCATCTCGTTGTCCTCTTGTCCTCCAGGTCAGAGAGAGCGACCCAAACGACCCCAACAAAGACATGGTGGTCCAGCTGATAGATGACTTTAAGATCTCTGGAGTCAACGGCATACGTATCCTGATCAGAATAGTGTGTGTCTTTGTATTTGTGTGTGTGTGTGTGTGTGTGTGTGTGTGTGTGTGTGTGTGTGTGTGTGTGTGTGTGTGTGTGTGTGTGTGTGTGTGTGTGTGTGTGAGACGGATAAATAATGTGAGTCCTTGACTCGCTGTCCCAGATGTGTGTATGGTGTTTGAGGTACTCGGTCACCACCTGCTGAAGTGGATTATTAAATCCAACTACCAAGGTCTGCCGCTGCCGTGTGTCAAGAGCATCATCAGACAGGTAAGCACACACATACTAACACACTACACACACACACACACACACACACACACACACACACACACATACTAACACACACATACTAACACACACATACACACACACACACACACACACACACAAAAAAAAAAAAAAAAGAGAAATTGCCGTCTCTATTTCCACTAAATGTGGATAAATTGTCAGAATTTGAATAATGGCAGGTATCTCCTTAAAGGCTGCAGTGCACAACATATTTAAAGAAAAATTGGTCCTGAATAGAGGTTTATTCTAACGTGATGTCACAGTCTTCTCATTCTGTGAACCACTGATGCTTTATTGCTTTACCAGCCAATTAGGCAAAAAGTAGGTGTGTGTACCATAAATCATGCATGAGTGCTGTAGTCCTGAGATTATTTGGTTGACCTTGGGGGAAGGAGGTGAAAGAAAAATAGTTAAATATGATTAAAACAGCAAAAGAATCAGTCAGCAAGATTCACACCCATCCCTTACCTTCTTAACAGTGAACGGTATTGTTCACTTCACACTTCAGAGTTACTGTCCGTTACAGATTTAGGACCGTTGGGCTCCTTCCCCTCAGCCACCTGATGCGCATGTGAAGAGCCGCTGTGAGCTTCTCTTAAGCTCAGCTGAAGATGAGTACATATTAAATCAGACTGTTCCCCCCTCTTCAATCTCAAAGTCGACAGACACAAACAAATTAAAGAACCAGAAAAAAGCCTCTCTGCTCTGCCCTCAGAGTTAGACAAGCACCAGAAGAGCGGCTAATGAGAAAGAGGAATGAAAAGAGGGCGAGAAGGAGAACTAAACAGGGAGAGGCTTTCTTTTGTCTTCTTTTTTTTTTTTTTTTTGTGTAAACTTGTTTGTTAGTTGTATAATGTGTGTCTGTTTATCTGAATGTGTTTGCAGGTCTTGCAGGGTCTGGACTACCTCCACACTAAATGTAAAATCATCCACACAGACATCAAGCCAGAGAACATCCTGATGTGTGTAGATGACACCTTCGTTAGACGCATGGCCATGGAGGCTACCGAATGGCAGAAAGCTGGAGCTCCCCCTCCCTCTGGATCAGCAGGTAAACACAAAAACACTCATGTGATGAGTATCTCAAGTGACATAGTTTAACATTTGAGAAAGTTTTCTTCGCCTCTGAGAGTTGGATGGGAGAATTGACATTTTCCAACTAGAAACAGAAATCCCAGTATCCTTTCAAAATAAGAGTTTCATATTCTCAGCGGCCTTCTCAGCAATCTGACTGTTGTTATAAAACACCTTAAAAGCTTCACCTGCAGATTTATGACCAAGAAAGTTTTAACCATACAAAAGCATTTGACATGCGCATCTTTCTTTGTTCCTTTGCAATATGAACTGTGAAGTTAGCCTTTACCTGAGACCCCCAGAACACAAAAAGAAAGTCAGATTCAAAACCCTTATTAACCTCCAAATGTTTTTGTAAGGTTAATCAAACAAGACGAATCATGTTACGTAAGTCTTGTGCTTTAGAGGTGCTGTTAGACAGATTTTTTACTTTTATGCAAGGCCAGCAGTTTCCCCTTTTTGTTAGTCTACAGTATATGCTGAGCGAGAGCTGCTGGCTGAGGCTTCGTATTTAGCATTCACACATGAGAGAGAGGTCTTCATCATTTAATCAGAAAGCTTATTTTAGTATTCCGAGAACACATCAGCATCTGTAACGAACTCGCTGAAAGTAAGTGACAACGAAGAGGTATCACACATGAAACAAGTTTTAGAGGAAGTTCATTTCTTATAAACGAAGTTTAAACAATCATAATTATGTGAGTCTGATCAATCAGTCATGAATGAAATGTATGGGTGAGTGTAGTGTTGGGAAGTGCAAAAAAAACCAAAAACATCTGGTTGAGCCATGAGGGAAAGAGGAGAGAGAGAAAAGAGTGTAAGCCACTTAAATGAGCTGAGGCCTGATTAACTCAGGTGTACACAAAGTTAACTGATGTTCTTCATGACTCTGCCTATTTGCTGCTGAGCCAGGAAGTTAAACCAACAAATACAGGCAGAGAGGGCAGGACGGCCCAGTTAGACCTTACTTGGGACCCTTGGAACACAGGGGATTACCCCTATGAGCAGAAATAATCAAGTCTGGCTCAAGTTAAGTTAATTCTTGTGCTTTAAAGGTACAGTTAGACAGATTTGTTACTTTTATGCAAGACCAGCAGTTTCCCCTTTTTTTCCAGTGTGCTGGTTGAAGCTTCATATTTAGCATTTCCACGAGAGTGGTCTTAATCACTTAATCTGAAAGCCAATTTTAGTATTCCAGGGAACGTCAATACTTGTTCCTTACTGAAAACTTTACTTCCATATTAGCATTCATTTAATAGAGCACAAGAAAGGAAACTAGCCAAAAGGTTTCCCTGATGAATGTCACAGCCCCTAGTAGCTTAACAGCTCATATTGTTAATTTGATTTGTAACTAAAAATCAAATGAATACACCCTCATGACTACTAAAGCACTCCTCTTTCCTCTCTAAATGGTTGGGTTGCTCTGTACATGAAAGGAGTCACAGGGAAGCCTCCTGTGCCTCCTCACTTTCTTCACACGAGACATTTTTTTTTTTTTTTTTTGCTTTTTTTTTCATCTCCTGTCAACAAGTTCCTCCACTGGAAGAAAAAATGAAGGTGTTGAAAAAAGAGAATCACCGTCTTGACAAACTCGACATGAACCCTGTCCTCCCGGTGAACCACACAATGAGCTGTCAATTGCTTGCATCAGCTGAAGAAATGCTTATGAGCCATGGGGGAAACCAATTATACTGCTTACATTTCTACGCAATTAAAGCCGGGCACAAACCCATCAGCTGTCAAAACGGGAGGGCTGACTGTTGACAAAATCTGACTTTGATCGAAGAGGCAAAGTAAATAAAACATTTTAATGTCATTAACATAACAGGAGAAGCGCTTATCATCCAAAAACAAAAGTGAACATTTCCTGCTTGATTCTGCAACATGAAGCGACAAAAAGGACATGCTCTTGATTGTTTGTGTTTTTATGACGTTTATATTTTGGTTAAAAGAATGTTTCCTGATGAATCATTGTAGCTCCTGATCGATTTTGCTGGAAACTCTCAGCTAATGACACAAAAATAACTGAACATGTGTGTCTGTCTCTCCGTCCCTGCACATATTTGGAGACTATTTTTCTTCAAAATACAAAAGATGGATCATTTTCTGTTTAAAGAAACGTTTGGAAATGTATCATTTCTTAATATGAGGCATGTTTCTTTACAATGTTCAATAATAATTATGTTCATTATTTTATTTCTATTGGTTAGTAACACTCTACTCTTTTGGAAAAGTCCGTTATTTTAACCTGAAACCTTCAAAGACCAACGTATGCCACTCAAAGTTCTTGTTTGATGGGCTTGAACTGATATTCTACTCATTGACTACGTTATAGAAAGAGTTTCTATCCTCTTTCTCCAACCAGTCTTTGGATTTCCACTTTCTTTTTTGTGCAACAGCTCCCCTCGTTTTCAGCAACATGTCAGAGCGAGATTTGATCTTGATGGAGGAAGCTTTTTCATATTGTTGTCTGACCTTTTGAATGATAAATGACATTCTGTAAGTATCACATAAATAAAGAGATCGATTCAGAACCCTCCCTCTTTCAGATGAGCAAATGATGGAGACACGGATTGAACTTAGCTTGTTGGCGAAAAAAAGATGTCTGTGACACTTTGAAAGTGTCTGATTGTTGTTGTTTTCTCTCTGTCTGTCAGTTAGCACAGCCCCCCAGCTCAAACCGGTGAGTACAACAGATGTGAGTATGAAATGAGAGCCGTGCACACACACACAAACATAAACACACATAGACACAACATTCAGCATGTCATATTGTTCAGTGATGATAGCTCGAGTTGCAGGGAGGGTGCTCAATGCATTGGATGTTTTATTATCAGTTATCAAATAAGTATGTTTTTATGAGCAGGTTTTTAAACTGCTTTAAAGCTCACACTTCTCTAAATTAGAAAATGATTTTAACAACAAAATCCTGAGGAAACATTGCTCTATCAATAAAGAGATTTTAATACATAATGTCCCAGATACGGTATCTTTGAATTAGAAACTAGTTCCTTTGAAAGTCCCTTTCTAAAATATATTTGATGAAGATATACTATATTACCTTGACCCAAACACCAACTTTTTATAAGCCAGGAAAAATATCTCTATTTTCAACCCAGTAACCGCATTTTCTTTGTAGTGGTTTATTTGTCCTTTTAGACGTTTTTTTTCATATGTAATATTTTGTATCAAGTACACATTTTTGCAAAAACATTTTTTTATAATCCCTGAATAAAGACATCCCCACTTATTATGTTTACCTTTGTATAACTTAAAACCTCAGTTCCTCTGCATCATCAGTACTGTGCAATGTTTTGATTGACAGTCGTCTGGCAGCGTGAGCAAACAGCCTCAAATCCAACCCGAGGTTTAATCAAATGCTGCTAAAGCCTTTTAGTACATGGACTTATTAGGCATCTCCTTTTTCTTAAAGTGTTCCACGTTACAACCAGCAGTTAGACCATAAACAATAAAAAAATAAATGCTGAAAGTCTCCCAAATTACCAAAACTGATCTTACTTAGGAGGAAATGTGTGCAGTAGTATAAAGGACAGTGCCCCCTTTTTTATGAGAATAAGATGAGTGTTGTATAGACTTTAAGGAATTTTCAACTTTTTCTATATTACAAATAAAATTATATTTCTTTGATGAGCTGAAAATATCAAACCAAAAACAATACTATAATTATGACCCGGCATTCACATTAGCAACACAACATTAAGCGTCCTATTCATTTGTGTGTTTGCCTCCTTGTGACCTTCTCGCCTCCTCTCCCGTCCTGTTTTTTTTTTCCCCCGCCTAGGTGGGAAAGATCTCCAAGAACAAGAAGAAGAAGCTGAAGAAGAAGCAGAAGCGTCAGGCCGAGCTGCTGGAGAGGCGTATGCTGGAGATCGAAGCCCTGGAGAGAGAGGCAGAGAAGAAGGACGAACGAGCCAAAGACGGGGGAGAGAAAGGGGACCATGAACACAACCCGCCTTCGCCCCACAAGAAGACACCGCCGCCGATAGGACCCAGCATGGCCCTGGGAGAGAGCGATGATGATGATGAGGAGGAGGAGGACGATGAGGAGGAGGAGGAAGGGGAGAAGGAGAGGCCCATCAGGTTGACAAATCATACATGTGAGTAACTCGACCCTGGAGTTTACTTTGGGGAAGTGCAGAATAAAGTTACTCTTTGATATCAGATTTCATGAATAGATTCTACTCACCCTTACTATTAAAAATGGAGTATGATACATATACGTACATATACTATTACTGTAGATGTCTTTTAGGGACACCCTGGTGGTCTATGCTTTAAGTTTTCCTGTGGCTTTTTCTTGTAAACAAACAATAGTTATTGGGTATTAATACCTCGTTATATCTATTGACAGATATCTGAAGATAAATTAAGAATCTGTAAAAGAGGGGAAATATTTTGGTGGAATTATTCTGGTTTCTGTGTGTTGATACGTCGGTTGGTCAAATCTGGTCGTTTCTGTTTCCTCGTCTTTTTTTGGCACATTTCTGCGTGTCTTGAAAAAATGACTGCCTCCTGTACATTATTCATTTTCAGGAATGTGTACAATATTCACACCCCTGCATGTTCATCCTCATGTGTGTTCATCTGCTCCACACAGTCATATTGTAGGCCACAAACTCTTTAATCTTTAATATTCATGCAGTACAACTGTCACATCGCTGGTTTTGATACAGCTTTGAATCTCTGTTGCATCTCAAACCTTTACCACGTTTCCAATTCCTGTTGGTATCGATGATACAGTCTTTAGATAAAAGAAAGATACTTAATAAATGAGTAGCAATGCTCTTGACCTCTTTTTATAAAAAATACAAATGCTGAAACTTGTCCCCTCATATTTGGATGTAAAGTTTTTCTGTATAGTAAGGTTTACTTACTTCTTCATTAACATAACAGAGATTTAACTAAATTACAAAATCAGTAAAAGGCATTAAAGGCTCTATTATAACCCCAATTTAAAAATGTCTTGTTTTTTTGAGTTGATGTCTTAATTCTAAACTCTTCATTTCATCATTTGATCTGGCTGATGTTGCAAAATTTAACATTTCAGGAACTGGAATTTGAAGTCTAGTAACAGTATTTGTATGCTCTTTTTAACTGCACAAAATGTTTTTACATGTACTGAATGACTTCAGTAAAGATAACATATTTAAATATTCATATTAGATTATTTTTTATATATCGTGTTTCCTCCCACTCCAGTGTGCATTTACATATTTCATAACCACTGTATGTCTATTGTCACAGGGAATATAGTTTATAGAATATAGTTTTGTCAAAAACAAGTCATTTTATTTTTTATTGAATGCTCTCTGGCCCATATAGTTGGGAGAATGTCCGTTTAGGAGGAAGTCCTCTTACAAGGCTTTTTAATCTCTGACATCTGTTCGACTGCTGCTTCACTGCAGTGATTTTTGTACTGTACATCGTCACAGCCTGGTTCAGACCTCTGAATCATCCCTTCATGTCTGATTTGCAAAACACAGCTGCACTGCACTTATTTGCTATTGTGCTTTAATGTGAGACGACACCGAAATCCAGTTGACTTTTCAAAATAGCCTCGCAGAAATAAAATAATTAAATGTTCCGTTTAAGGTTTGTGCAATTTGTTTCAATTGGTGATTATTAATAAGATTGTATTTTAGAAGTCCTATATTTGACTCTTGTGTCCTTTAACATAAAAATGATCCTTTACATCTATAGTCAATCCTTTACAATGCTTCCTTTCTCTAAGTTGAATACATTGTGAAGGCCAGGTGATCTTAGGTCATCGTCTACTGTACACCGGTCATTGAAAACTAGAGGGTGATTTTCTGAGCCTATATCAGACCTGCAGAATGAGTGAGTGTGTGAATGTGTGTATTCAGGTTTGTGCAGTCTGCCTCTGAATGAATAGGAGGTGGACTCGCTCCAACCAGCTGCCCACACAAGTCCCACAGTGTATGGGACGCTGGGCTGATTCACACAAAAAGAACCCTGCCTTTCTCCGTCTCCCTCCTCCACCCCTGTCTCTCCACCTTCTGTCTCTATCATTCTCCTTTTCTCTCTTCTCTCTGCAATCTTTATTCACTTTTTTTATGCGCCTTTCTACACTGCCTACGCTGTCCTTGAATGTGCTTGTATCTCGTTCCCACCTACTTCCTTTCTTAACTGTTTTTCTCATTTTCTTTCAATATAAGGTGCAGCGCCTCCCCAGGAACAGAGCGAGGCTCCTAACATCCCTGAAGACAACCCCGATGAGGAGGTGGAAGAGGAGGAGGAGGATGAGGATGAGGAGGAGGAGGATGAGGAGGAGGATGAGGAGGAGGAAGAAGAAGAGGAGCTCACTCCTATTGCTGAACAAGAGACCCCAATTCCCCCTAAAACAGAACAAGGTAATGGAGATCATACGCAGACAGAAGAAGAAGACGAGGAGGGGGAGAAGGAGGAATTCAAAGGGGTAGAGGATGGGACTGAGAAAGAGGTAGCAGAGGAGAAAGAAGAGCAGGAGGAGGAGGAGGAAGAGGAGGAAGAAGATGATGAGGAGGAGGAGGAGGAGGAAGAAGAGGAGGAGGAGGAGGAGGAGGAGGAGAAGAAGAAGAAAGAGACTGAAAAAGAGGAGAAGGAGAAAGAGGAGCCAAAGAGTGAAGGCCAAACAGAGGAGAAGGCAGAGGTAGAAGAGGAGTCAAAGGAGAAGGAAGGGGAGGATGAGGAGGAAGAGGAAGAGGAGGAGGAGGACGACGACGACGAGGAAGATGACGATACAACGGCAGACCTCATCACATTGAGCACCTCCCCCATCAAACCTGACAACAACAAAAGCAATTCGGTCAAAAGCAATTCGGTCAAAACCAACGGTCACGTTTTGTTGGGATCTGAGGGACTAAAACCAAACCCTGGCATTCCTCCTACTCCTTCCCCAACCCCTGAGCCTCTCCTCTGCCCCCTGGTGGAGTCTGAGCTCAGCTACACGGACAGGGACAACTCTCTCAGCTCTGGTTATGAGATGCACAACGGTGAGGTGAGTGAGATGGGGCTGACCAACGGCTCCAGTGATCGCACCGGGCCATAATGCCCATCTTCCCCGACCTGCCCCTGGATCCTTTGCCAGGAAACCCCATTTCTCTTGGAATGGCGGACATTGGAGCAGGGCTGTTGACCAACAGCCCGACCGCTGACCGCAGTCGCACTGTGTCGTCCTCAAGCACGGGGGACACACCCAAAGGTAAGAATTCAGTTATGGTCAGTTATGGTAAATTTATTTATTTGCACAATATATTGAAACTCATCAAAGAACTTACAATTATTCATATGCAGAGGGTATAACCCAACAAATTGTTTGCTGCCTTATTGTATTTTTGATGCAGGATGTAACCACAATTTCCCAGTTTGGGATCAATAAAGTAATTCTATTCTATTCTATTCTATTATTCTATTATTCTATTATCGTGACTATTAAAGATGTTGGTGTATTTTGACAGACTTTTCCAATTATTGGAAGTTTCTGTAATTTTCCCTGCATTCAAATGAATAGTTTGAATGTCCAGATTGTGTGATGGTATTTGTTAAATAAAATTTTAGTTTAATTTAATTTAAAAAGAAATTAACAAATGATTGAATTCAGCCTGATATGCGCTTCCTTCTTGCCAAGATCTATAAAAAGAGGACATTTTGATCGACATAAAAATTAGAATTTTACTTGGATATGGAAGGGAAAGGAAAGATGATGATACGATTGGTCGAGGTAACTCGTCAGCACAACATGATTTAACATCTCTGTTGTCTTTAATATAAAATAAGATAATCCAGAGATCTCCTGTGGGAATTATTAATGACTCACTATCACTGTTGCTCATCCGCCCACAGTATTATTATTATTATCATCAATTACTTGGACTCCTACCTAGTGGCTCCAGGGTCACCTTTAAGGGTCACATCTCCAAAGCACAACAACAGTTTTAAACAGCATCCCGTTAATCTGTTATTCAGTTATGCAACACTCTGAATAATTCATCGGGAGAAAGTTAGTGCTGAGTTCATATTATTTGGATCCCATCTGAAGATTCCTCGTTCTGTAATAATGTGTAGTGGTACATCGAAGTGTGTAAACCCTTCTTGTGTTTCCACTCTGTCTGTGCAGTCCGGGCCAGAGCTGCAGACCTCTTGATCAACCCACTCGACCCACGAAACGCTGAATCTATTCGAGTCAAAATCGCTGATCTTGGAAATGCCTGTTGGGTGGTAAGACGCAGTTCTACACATATTCATGAAGGTGGTAGCAAAATAAAAAGACAACAAAAAACAACTAAGCATACAATGTTTATGTACACAAAATTCATACTCAAAATAATACAAGTAATTAGATCAATCTGAACTCCCTTTTTATTTGAAAGTGTTTTAATAAATCTGAGTACAACAGACCGTAATATGAAAAATTGCATAATTTCAATACACAGTATTTGTTACCAAACCAATATTATAGCCTGTTAGAGGGCTGTGCACATACTCATAGAACCGGAGTTACATCCAGTAACTGAACACAGAGGAGAGTAAAGGAGTTTGTCTGTCTAAGTTTGCAGCTCCAGACTACAGCAGGCTGTTTGTTGTCAACTGTAACCACCAGCTGATACCTGTATGACACAGACACGGTCCGACAGCATCCGGAGATGCTGTTGGATCTCACACGAGACGCAGGAGGATTTAAATACGTTTTTTTCTACAACTGTAGATACGGCAGAGGGCGCGTGTTGTTAAGCTGCTGCAGGAAACACTGTATAACTTAAATTCAGCCTTTATACACAGTGGTAAAACTGGTTTAATATTCTGTCTAAAACATTTGGTAAACACACATGTTCCAAGATCTCTTTTTACATGAAAAAAAGAATCATATTTGGGAAATATACATACTAATGTGGACACATAAGGCTTATTTTCTTCAAGCCGTTAATAATCTCGTCATCTTTCAGTGGTTTTTATATAGTTGGGTTAGTAAACATAAATTGTGCTCTTTTACCAATACTGTATGTGATACTGTGACTCCACTTTATAAATATACTATAAAAATCCTTCTCACTAATTATTTGGAAAGTTATTCAAAATGGAAAACCCATGAAGTGAGTGATTTTGGATATACCACTGGATTTAAATTGGTTTAAAATGTTTCTTCCCACAAATATAGTGAGTAATTCTCAAAAATATTTTGCACAAGGGTACGTTTTGAAAGAGTGATATCATTGTAAATAAAAAGACAGGAAAACACGTGTAGAGGATGGTTTATTGGCATTTTCAAATACTGCACATCTTTTGTAATGTGAACTTATGTTACAGTTAGACTAATGTCCATCCTCTCCTCTCCTCTCCTCTCCTCTCCTCTCCTCTCCTAAACAGCACAAGCACTTTACCGAGGACATCCAGACGAGACAGTATCGTTCCATTGAAGTCCTGATAGGAGCTGGTTACAGCACTCCTGCAGACATCTGGAGCACTGCCTGCATGGTGAGCAGAACACATGCACATATACAGCACATATAAACAGTTCTTTCTTTTATTTATACACAGACAGTATAGACTCACGTACAAAACTCTGTTTGATCTCTTGTAGGCCTTTGAACTGGCGACTGGAGATTACTTGTTTGAGCCTCACTCTGGAGAAGACTACTCTCGTGATGAGGGTGAGTATCTAAATCTGACGCACACTCAAGACTGTTAATTTCCAAAAATAAAGAAGTAGAAAATGTGTCACTTCAAAGTATTCCACTAGAGTTTCACAGCTGAATATTTTTATCCTATGAGAGTTAGCTTGAGGTACGGTTTACTGAAGTGTTTGACTCAAAGATGAAAAAGTATTGAAGAAAGGTAATGAAGAAAAAATCTGTGTTTTAAATGTATTAAGAAGTGTTAGGTTGGTCTAGTTTCATATGAAAATGTGTGTTTGCAATTCAAACTCAATGTGTTTTATCGAATGTCTCCATTGTTCAGATGCATCGTGGCTGATACGTATTTTGATCTTGATCCCTTTACTGTTGATCAAGATCTCTTTGTTTTCCACACAACATAAAAATGTGGTTCGAATAGCATTTACTTCAAACACTGACATTTAATTCTGATTTCACAGAGATTGGAACAGGATGGAAATGTCATGATTATCTTATACCTGCCAAAAAATAGATACAATTCTTCTCCCACAATCACTGAAATACTTAAATCTCTAAACTTAAACTGTCATTTGTTCTCTGAGTGAACCTTCTTTTTTAGTAGAAAACAAACAACAGTCTTTTATTAGTTAGCTATAAATCAATGCATAAAAAAGATAGATAAATTAATATATCTCTGCAGATTTCAAAGTAAGACAGCTTTTTCAAGTCACTTGTCAGTATATGAAAGATTTTCCTGATGAAGTAAAATGTTATATTGAGTATCTTAGAAGTATTAGTAGTAGAATTACTAACATAAAATCCTGTATCCTTTCATCAGATTGCACAGAATTAAATTGATTTAAGGAGTCTTGTGCTTATAATACTCTATTACCCAATAAGAAACACAAAAAAGTGATTTATGTTATAATGGTAATTTTGCTGTTTTCTTTTAGGCACTAATATCTGATTGTATATGATTGATTGTATAAAAATCAGAGTACCTCACAGTTAGTATCCTAAGATTTGTTGTTGTTTTGAATATTTTCTCCAAAATGCTTCTGAACAATGGACAAAATACAGTTAGATTTTTACGAGTACTGTTTTAAACTGATGGGAAAAAAAAGTGCACTTCACTCAAATGATAGCCAACCCTCACCCCAGAATCCCCCTGTCCACTGTCGACTGTGAATCCTGTCCTTTAGCTCTGCTGCTATGCCTCCACTCATCCTCACCTTCACCTGCATGTGCTCAACATCTGGACTTGGTATAGAATACTAGATTGACATCACATTTTTCCTACAATCTGACCTTTAAAACAGTAACTTTAGGGCAACTTTAATCAGTAGTAATGTTTGAGTATTTGATCACTTATACAGTCCTCCTATTGCTATGTAAACCCCTCGCAGACATGCATCCATATATTTAATTTAATCTGCTCTACCATGATATGTAAATGTCCTTGAGATCTCAGCTTATTTATGTTGTATCTCAGAGTTGCAAAAGCACAAAACAAACATAGAAATGAGCTTAAACTAGCGGAATATGTCGAGCTCTCGAGGAAACACCTGAAATGAATCTTTAATCACAGAAATAACTCCTTATCAAATAAAACTGAGTCATTAAACGTATGGATGCATGTCTGCTTATGGCCTCCATGAATTACTAAAGCACTGCATTCCCTATATTTGCATGTGAACTCCAGTCATCAACCCTACTCATCCCCTGACTTTATATCATACAAAATAAAACCTATTTCAAACAATGCATCCTCATCAGCATTTCTTACATCCTCTGATCTTTGATCCTACCAACTCACTGTGTTATTTTTCTCACTGCCTGTGTGACCCACAGACAGTTAACCTCATCTTGCATGTGTTGCACAGATAATAAGCCACTGTCAGATGTATCATGACATCTTGATAATTAAACTTCGAGACACCCGTGAACTCCCAGCACTGAGGCCAAATTGAAAATAAAGTTTAGTGTTCTAGTTCACTGAAGTCTGAATGCATGTCACTTTAATTCTAAAGCTGATCATTTTCATTTCATCACCACTGCTGTGGAGGCACAGCTCACTAACAGGTTTTTCTCCTTTACTCTCTGTGACTGTCTCTTTTTTCCTTCCTTCCCTTTCCTCTCTTTTTACTCCTCCTTCCCCTCTCTGTGATTTTTTCAACCCATCACTTCCCCTTTCTTACCTAAAATCCAACATTTTTTTTTGTCTATTATCTCCTTCTCTTCTTTCTTGTCTTTACATTTTCTCTTCCCTTGCCTCCCTTGTTCTTTCGGTTATCCTTTTTCCTTCCCTTTCTCCTCCTCCCCTCCCTCCCCCTCTCTCCTCCATAGACCACATAGCTCACATCATTGAGCTGCTGGGCTGTATTCCGAGGCACTTTGCACTCTCCGGAAAATATTCCCGGGAGTTCTTCAACAGAAGAGGTAGCGATGGACAGAGAGCTGGAGGGAATGGGACACACTGATGTATATGGTGGGCTAGAGTGGACACTAGCAGACAATCAGGATGGCATATTTGTTAAATATTTTCATTTTGATTGGACTTACAAGTTAAATAATGACTAAAAACATGCAAACAGTCAAGTAAAAGCTGCAGAACTTCAAGGAGTTCCAGTAGACATCCATCTGCGAGTGTGTCCATGGAGTTCACTTGATCAGCAGTGTGTGTCAGTCCCATACAGCCAAAGGTGTTGACGTGTGTGTGCATGCTGTAATGCCTGTTCCCTTTGTGATGTATGTGGTGGTGGGCAGACCACATCGCTCTGATCATGGAGCTCCTTGGGAAGGTCCCACGCAAAGTGTTCGCAGCCGGGAAGTACAGCAGAGAGTTTTTCTCCAAGAAAGGTAAAGGACAAGGACAAGTGCCGAGCTGGCCTTGTAGGTGTACGTATGGCGGTGGTGTGCATAATGGAGTCTTGTGTGTGGTAAAGTTTGTGGTACTGCCACAATAATCTAAATGTAGTCCATTTAAAAACATGTACAAAAAATGATAACATGTAAACATACACAAATATAAGAAAATTAAATAAAAGAGTTTTTGAAATAAGTCATGTCAATAAAAGGCTAAGATTTTGTTTGTCTCCCTAAAGATCTTGTATTAAAGAAGTCTGGCCTTACGTAAAGTAACCAAACACATTAATGACAATTTCATGGTCAAATTACAATTAAATACAGCTCAACAATCATTGTATAGATGCATTTATTCCAAATTATATGAACTAACTCACGGAAACTAAGTGAATAAATGTATTAGAGTTAATAAAGGTTTTTATACTAAAAAGTACCTCGTTCAGGGGCCTGTGATTAATATGGGAAAATATCATTGGTCCTTTAAACTGTTTTTGTTTTCTATCCGTTCATGAAAAAGCAAACATCTACAATAATATTTGACAATTTTGTAAGGGAACTCAAATCCTTGAACAGTAGGTCGCTCAACATATCTTAAAGATGACGACGTAGATCGACGTCTTCACTTTGTATGTATTTGTAATTATGCTGAATTGTTGATCAGTGAAGTGATATTAATTAAAATGATCATAATAACAATTATGTTTGTATATCACTTTACAAAAACAAGTTATAAAATACTTTACAGTCAAAACAAGGCAAAATAATAAAGTCAAACACAAATAAATTAAAGCAGATAAACAGAGAAATAAGACCCAATACAGCAAGAAAAACCCATATATCAATAAAAACCCAGTACAAAAGTGCAACAAAGCCAACAGAAAAGAAAAGGAGATTTAAAAGAGGACTTCATTAAGAAGAATTTAAAGTTATACCCATGGATATTAATGAATTGTTACAACCTTAGTATCTGATAAATATGCTGCATATGATATTCTGTTCTGTTATTGCACGTCCCTACTCTATAAACATCCAAATACTTTGCTGTGATTGTCTTAATCGTCTGACATACAGTGAGCAGAAGGGTCGTTCGATCAGCAATACTTCAGAATAGTCTAGAGTCAAATAAAGAAATATGAATGCATTCTGTTAGGAGAGACTTTGGCAAACCCACTTATTGTTGACAAAACAAATCATAGTCGGGTTTTAGGCTCTTTGTAAAATTCAAGCTTTGGGGAGAAAACTGTCAATTTAAATGGATCAAAGTGCAAGCAATAATACTCTCTGACAACATTGGAAAAAGCAAAGGAAAGATGAGTTGTAGTTCATCCTGAACACAGAACAGCAAGTCTCAGGTCTTAAGTGTGTCATGCACCTCACTGCCTCTGCTCTTTGTGAGCCTGGTAAGTGTATGGATCTGTGATTGGTACAGCTGATAACCCCTGCACTCTCACATTTGTTCTCCTTTTTCTTCCTCCTGGTCTCCCTCCCTTTTCTGCTCATATATTCTTCATAATGTGTCATGAGACCTGAATATTCTGCCTTTGATGTTGTCTCTATCCGAGGTCTGAGCCTGCACTTGATGTCTCAATGTTCTCCCTTTTATCTCTTGGCGCTCTGTTAATCTGCTCCGACTTTCTCGCTCCGTCTCTCTGGGCTCCTCCTGTCTGCCGTGCTGCCTTCGGCCGCGCGTTGCAATCTAGCGGCCTCGTTACCTTGTAGCCTTGTTCTGATTTTCCCTGAAACATCCAGGGGAAAAGAGGATACACTAATTAGAATCCAAATAGTTTTAAATTTAACTTCAAACGATTGTTAAAAACAGCATTTTATTGCAAGACCTAATGCTAAAGAAACAGCTGTTAAGTCTTTAAAAGAAGGGGGTTCCTTTCTCCCATCTTGTTACAACCATGTTCTGTGCTGGACTATCATTAATCATTCTCTCATACTTTTTTCCTCTCTGTCAGTCTTGTGCCCCCAGCAAATCATTTTCTTCCTCTCCTAAATAATGAACACCTTCCTCTGCTCGGCCGTTTCCATTAAATCACCTCTTTCTTCCTGTCTTTCTCTCCTGATGTCTGTTCTTGTTGGTTTTGGTCAAAAACTCCACAGCTTTTTACTCACAGTAGTGTGACAGCATTTCACTAATGCGTTCGATTTCAGTCTTTGAGGGGGAGCTAATCTGCAGAAGGCTGAGCTGCTAATCACCATATGCCATCATTAACGTTGAGCCTAGTCCGAACTGACAGTTTTGTTAGCTTGTCAACATTATTGTTAGGTAGCACAAAACTGTTAGCTAGGAGTTCACACCTTTCAGAGTCTAACTTCTATCACTGTTAACAGTCACGTTAGCTTATTATCCAATATTTTGTTTTCATTAGAATATGGCCCACTGTTTTTCTATCCATTGTCCATTCAGTTTCTAACCAATCGGGGAGTAGTGATATGATGACAATTTGTCAGATTCCCACTGTTTATAAGTTTTGCATAACAACATTTCAACTGCCAACGCTCAGCGTGACATCAGAGGAAAATGGCTGTTATTTAAATATGGTCAAAGACATCTTATTAAAAGGTCACTCCACCTGAATGACCTCTAAGAATAACTTGCTCCTCTCTGGTGGAATCCAGCCATGCACACAGTTTTTGGAACAGAACATTTGGATATTTGATTTGCATTTTTGTGTGTGTGTTCTAAACGTGGAAAAGCAGCAGCATAGCAACATCTTTTTTTTTAAATGATGTCCCTGTTACTCTAGATAAACGGCTGCCAATAATACCACATCTTGGCTGTAGTATTGAAACAAGCTTTAATCTTTATATTCAAGAAAAGGGCCTCTGTTTTATGTAGGCTTTTGTTCTTTTTACAGTTAAAAGATAAATATGAATAAATTTATTACAAAGAAAAGTCTACAGGAAAGCCTAATATTTAGCACCTAGGTGATCAAAATGTAGTTAATAGCTAATTAAAACAGTACTTACTACATTATTAATACATGTAGTAATGTAATACTCTCCATCTGTAATTCTGGCCTTGGTATTATTTGATATCACGCCAAAGTTTAAACAAAACTTTGTGGCGTCTACCACCTCTATTCTGGACCATCTGCACACTTCATTATGATTCTTTTATGAAACTGTTATCTACAAAAGAAATAGTCTCTGTGTGTGAACACTGCGCAGTGTGTGTTTTGTGTAGTATTCTGTATTCTGAGTAACAAGGATGACCCCATTTCTGAAAAAAAGACGTTGCCGATTTCATTGTGTGCAGCCTGAATTAAATTTGTTCAGGTTGATGCAAGAACCTATAATGTCTTAATGAGTGAAAATTTAAGCCAAGTCAGGTCAAAAATATTGTCAAGGCTAGATATCATGAGAGTATAATACTAAGGCTGTTATCTATATTGTTCTTATTTTAACAAATTCCAAGAGAAAACCAGAAAACAATATAACTATCTGTCTCTTGTTCTTTTCTGACTTCTTGTGTTTATATACTATTTTTGGCTAATAAAAAAGCACAACAAAATAACCCTATATCAGGCTACAGCACAGAATATTTGAGAGTCGGACCCATGATAAATGGTAATTTCTTGGAATTTCTTTAAAAAAGTAGGATACAGAATATCTACTGTCATGTCCCAGAAATAAAATCATGTTTTTTGGTGGACCCAACTCTTTCAGTTTTGCCACACTCTGTTCCCTTTACTTTTTTGTACTTTAATTTACTTGTCTCCCTGTCGTCCCCCTGCAGGTGAGCTGCGGCACATCACCAAGCTTAAGCCGTGGTCCCTGTTTGACGTGTTGGTGGAAAAGTACGGCTGGGCGCACGAAGACGCCGGCCACTTCACCCACTTCCTTCTGCCCATGTTGGAGATGGTGCCTGAGAAGAGGGCCTCTGCCGGCGAATGCCTCAACCACCCCTGGATTAACTCGTAGCCACAAACTCTGATCATAAGCCCTCCTCCTCCCCCATGTCCCACCAACAGTTAGCCCAAACATCATCCCCTGGTGGCAGCTCCAGGAACAACAGCATAGAGAGAAGATAAAAGACAAACTTAACCTTTCTACCCTGTCCAACACATCCATCAATGCTTATCTTAGTAGGCTTAAATCCAACAAAAGCCCCACATTTTTCCCAAAGGAATGTTAATACAAGCTTATGGAGATAACATGACATGGTAGCTGTGTCTTCCGAAACATCTCCCAAAAAGAATAAGATAATTTATAGATGGATGCTAAGAGAGATGACTTTTCTTCTTCTCTTATGTTGTCAAGATGTCAGCCAACCCCCTCATATGTTTTCCCTTCGACGTGATTCACATTTTCAACCTGTTTGGATCCAGTCATGGGCCACTAACAGCTGCTGATCTTTTCATTGAAGGGAAAGAAAAGTAAGAGCCTAGAGCTCCATCTGCCATGACCTTTACATAGCCAGGGCCTTATAGACAGACAAGAGTGTTTGTTTTTGGCAGAGAGAATGAGCACATGTGCCTGTGCTCAAGATCTGCCTACAGAGACTTCTCCTCTCTATTTCCAGCCCAGGTACCCCTTCTTCCCCCTCACTCTGCTATGGAAGAAGCACCCACATGGGACTAAAAGTTTACACCCTTATTTCTTCAACAAATCAAAACCCTTTTCCCATTTTGGTCCCCCCTTTACCTTCCTTCCAAAATAAACCGCATGCTCCTACCAGGGGGCCACCGCAGAGAACTGGAGGTCAGCCAGTCCTCCAGGGGGCACCACATTGACAGTTGCCACTCTGACAGTGTGGGATGAGCAGAAAAACAAAAACTAGAATACAATCAGTTAAACACAGAGGAGGACTGTTTGGTCTCTTAAGACTTTTTTTAAATGCATGGAGGGACTGATGGATCAGCATGAGCGGATATAACAAATGGAAGATGGATGCATCATTTTATTAGTGCATTAAGCTGGTTTCTTTCTTGTTTTTTCCCCTCTTGGACCTTGTGTTAGAAAGAATTGCATTAGGTTATTTTGGTGCCCCGTGTGAGGAAGTTACAACCCCTTCTTCTTCAACTTTTGACATTCCTAAATCTTGGTCCATAATTCCTGACTTTTATTCCTAAGAGCAATTCTGTTGAGTCCTGCTGTGTCACGTTTACCTGATCTGTTTGGTACTATTCCCTCATGTTTCCCCTATAGAGGAACCTTTTGATCCCTGAGCGTCTCCAGAAGGGGATGGTCGCACGGAGGTTGCACTTGTCTTTGTAGATGTCCTTCAGGGATTTGAAATCTTTGTACATAGAACTGAGATCTGGCAACGCAGATAAGTGGACAACGTTTCAACACACAAGCATCATTCCAAAAATCAGAGGCTGCTGTCAGCATAACTTGACTTCCTCTTGATACAGCCGCCATAGCTCCGGCCCTTGAGGAATGTTCAGACTGAACTGTGCCACCTGATGGCAAATGAGAGTACTGCATTACCACACACTGCTGCTGCTCTCAGTGCCAATGCTCCACTGGATCTCTCCACTTCTCTATTTCTGTCTCACTCAGACACACACACACACACACACACACACACACACACACACACACACACACACACACACACACACACACACACACACACACACACACAGACACACAAAGAAAAGCGCATCATCACAATTAGTCCAGTTGCCTATTTTTCGCAATAAATGAAAAAAGATGAATATAAGTAAATGGTGAGATATTTTTAAAAACTATTTAATTCATTTAAAAAAAAAGGAAAAAAAGAAAACAACTTTTCTCTGGTTGTTGTGACCGTGACAGAAACTTGTCTTATACTGAGGTGATTGTGTTTGTCTATTAGAGATGTTTTTATTTCTTTTGTCATTATTATTATTAATTAATATTATTGAAAGGTTTTTTTACACAGTTGTCACCTCTCCCTCCCTCCTTACTTGAACAGTGCTGCTCTGTCTGGGCTCTAGATGGTGATTAAAAGAAATCAACAGTTTTGCAATAAAGGGTATGTGATGAGTTTTTTTTTTGCACCAAAACCTCCTGATCTCACTCTTTCAGCCATGCTGACTGTTCTTCCTGATGACATTGACAGAATTGCGTCTCTTGTCTGTGTTTTTCATTGACAGATTTAATAAAATTGTAAATTAATGGATCCTGTGCCCTTGATGTAGTGAGTTTTCTGCTTTGAAAGTTGCATCAGTAAACCTGATCATGATGAAATGCAAATTTAGACAAAGGCCCAACAAAGGAAAGATAAAGATTAGTTATGGTAGATCCATTTTTTCTTTATTGAAATGTCAAAATCATAAAAGTGTAACGAGAATGAAAATACACAGGTCAGTCGTGAGTATCATTAGCTAAAGGCTGTCAATGTTACATAAAGTACATTGTGTCTCACACACTAAAGCAAGTCTGGTCCATTAGACAACGTTATCTATAATGCAAATAAAGGAGTGATAAAACACACCCTGAGATCAATATTAAAAGTAAATATGCTTTTGAGAATCCACCAGGGATTTTGGCTGTATTCTCTTTTAGATCTTAAATCACAACAAATGCTCTCTGATGCCATCTGTGTGTCTGCCAATGTGTCTGACTCCATTAGAACTCGATAAACAAGTGGTGCCTCATGTAAAGCATGCACACTCTCTCTTCAAGTTTATATCTGTATGTGAAATGTTTCTGCCACAACTTACAAGAAGAATTACAATTCAACGCCACAAATGATAAAAGTGGAATCGGCAAAAATGTAAAACTCACTGAGGTATTTACGCCTTCTACGCTGTTAAAATGAAGTGATAGGACAGGGATCTTGAAACCACATCTTCAGTTGTACACTTGTAGAGATCTTATAATACAACTCTGACCTCTTGCAGCGGGGACTCCAAAAAAAACAACCCCTGAAGGTGTTTTGTGTTATCTGTCTTCAAGAAGTCTTCGCAACAGATCTTTTTATTTCCAGGTGGGGCAACCAAAGATCTAACATGTGTCAGTAGATCCCACTGATCATCTATGTAGCTGAGATCTGGTAAAGTCAACAATGTGAACTCCTTTTCTTGTCACTCAGATGAATGCCTGACAGGTGTATGTATACTTCAGCTATACTACGTGGTAATAGATGCCTTACAGTATTGTGTGTGATTAGCTGTGCTTTAGCTGTATATGTGTGTGTGTGTGTCAGAGCAGTGATGCACAGTTCTTTAGCAGCAGGGGTTTGGCCAAATCCAGGATGTCCAAGTTGGGATCGAGTGACCTGCCCAGACCCTCCAGCACCATGATGGCAAACACGATAGATGCAAAATTACTCTCCAGCTTCACCTAGGAAAACAATTAGTAACAACATAGGTAAGTTATAGACATACTGTACAGAGATCATTTTCATTGTCCAAGTTCACTGTCTGCTGTGGGGTTAACAAGCCCTGTTTGTGAGGTTAAAAGCTAAATTAGTTGTTAGATCATGATTATTTCAGCTGCTTTCACCACCAAGATTGTATCCTTATGTATAAACTAGCATACATACTGGGGGAATCCTTTTTGAACCCTGAAAATTGTAGTAAAATTAGGTACAGTGAGTTCCGATATCAGTCTCACAGTACAACACATTTAATGGTGATGTTCATGCTGGTTTTACTTACAAAATGAAAACTGTTTTCAAACATAAAGCCGAGACAAAGAACTCAAGAATGGCATTTAAAATACTTAAATTTAAAAAAAAAAGTGTGGTCCATCAGCTACATAAGCTAGATCCCCTCAACAACACAAAAGATAATAATGCACAAAAGAAATGTAACCTCCAGATGTTCTACCTTGTGTTTGATGAGTAGACCAAAGACTCTAGAGAGCAAGTCACCCACTTGGATCTAAAAAGGCAGGAAAAATCCAGACATAAAATGACATCATCAAAGTTAATGACAACTTCCAATGGTCAGATACCTCCTGCAGATGGATTGTTGGAAATGTATTGTAAATTGTTGCAATAATAATCACAGAAAAAAAAAAATCAGTTCCCTAATTAATGTCCATTTCAGCAAACTCTAGCAACACGAAAGACATGAAAGTATGGTCACCATCCTAAAAGATACCAACCAGACACAAATAAATGACACAGCAAAATTCTCAGTTGGTACCTTTCCCAGAGAGAGGGAGTTGCTAAGGGCATGATCCACCAGCAGGGCCATCTCCTTCTTAAACTGTGGCACGTCTTGACAATCATTAGCTCGAGCATGATTCAGGATCAACTCTGCCACTCGTTCACCCTGAGCAAACAAAACAAAACCGCAGCAGCAGTGATTCCCAGCTGGATGCTTTCTTTGTCATCAGATAAACACCTGTTTGCACCTCCTTCATTACCTGTCGTAGCACCACAGCAGTGAAGACCGATCTGAAGTTGGCAAGATCATGGTCACTGAGCTGGGCTATGATACCAGCGTCCAGCAGAACCAGCTGGAGAGGATATGGCTCGGGCCTGACGCTCACCACCACCGTGTCCCACAAGTCAGTCAGGGTCGTCTTACCATGGGTCTCTGCTGATGCAGAACTGTCGCTGGAACCGGGAAGAGGCCCCAAACACTGGACAAGAATGTTCCCAGGATGGAGATCAGCGTGGACAAAGTTGTCAATAAAAACCTTGAAGACAAGACATAATGATGGAGACAAGGTCACAACAGAAAGGATGAAGTAAGGATACAATCTGACGCCTAAATATATTAAGACCAACAAGTATAATGTCTTTTAGTACATCAGAACACACATGAAAGAGTTGAAAGCAAAGATTTTTATTACAGGTGACGTATCTTACCATCTTCAGCATGGTGTCTACGCCCATCCTGGCTATCCTCTGCTTCACCTCCTGAGGAACCTCAGAGCCCAGGTAGTTGGATATGGGCTCACTCTCCTGAACAGAAAAAAACACATTAACAGAAACGAAACAAATGGGGCTACATTTCTGACGTATCCAATCTTTTTGATTTCATTTTGCAGAAGAAGCCACTGGAATTCTGTAAAGTAGGTTTGAAAAAAAGACAACAATTCCTCAATCGTTCAGTCATTGTGATCCCTCTACTCACTTCAAAAGTTTCCACTAAAATGGTCCTGGTGACAAAGGGTCGTAACGGAGTTGGGAATTTGACATATTTCACGTCACGGAAATTCTCCTGAAAACGCTCCATGTTTGTGGCCTCAAAACGCAGATCAATCTGAAATTAAAAGTCCAGTTAGATCACTGAAATAATCCGACTATTGAAGCCTTCTAAACGCTCAAGTGCTTTTTTTATTTTTTTTTTATTTGATAAAATATACTACAGTATAGTCCAACGCTTCAGTCCAAAAAAAAAAATGTGGCCCCCATTCAACTGATGAAAAGGGATTAATAAGTCGAAAAAGTGTGATCAAACTAATGACATTTTAAACGTGGAGAACTGAATGGTCCTACCTGTTTGGTCATGAGCTTCTCGAATTCCTCAACTATCTCACACAAACTGAGCCACTTGAGTCCAGGCAGGCAGTGCAGAAGCCAACTGCCTGTTTTCATCAGCAGTAGGTCAATTTCCACCTGCCTTCTGACACCGGGATGCACCACCTGCAAAACATCGGAAACAGTTTATAAACACCTAATGAAAGGCGTGAAAAAGAACACTCGATCCACCAATTAGTGAGACTATTATGTGCTTTTCACACACCTTGATAGCCACAGGTATCAGATGCTCCTTCACTGCCATTCTCTCTTCATGCCAACCCTCTGGATGACCTCGTTCTTCATGGCCTTCCTCCTCCTTACCGCGGCTCAAAAGCTGCCTCAGAGACCTCACCACTCCTCCCAGCCCGGGGATCTCCCACGCTTCCAGCAAGTCTTCCTTATCCATCTGCTCAACCAGCGACTGGAAGGCAGGGTCCTCCACTTGGTCGCGTTCGCCCAGCCTCTGTACACCTGGGCCACGCATCCCGAACCCACTGGCTCTTTGCTCTCAAACACTAAAGCCCTCCTCCAGTCCTCTCCAAAAGCCCTGCGGAGACACTGCTTGGTGTGGGACCATGGGTGAGGGCGCACCTTCACGTGGAGCCTGGAGAAGCGTTCGCAAAACTCCCGGGAGAAGATGTCCCGCCTGGTGCTGGCCCACTGTCCCAGCTTGATGAAGGTAGGACCGGATGTTTCAGTCACCCACAGGAGAGCGTCCAGCCAGTGTGAGGCCCAGCGAGCGGACACCAGAGCCAAGGGGGAAAGGAGAAGGAGAGGGCCAAATTTTAGGAGCAGCACCAATGCACGGAGGCTGAGGCGGAGGAAGAAAATTAACTTGTGCACTTGGACTCTAGCCACAGACTTTCTCTCCACTCTTTGAGGTGGAAGAGTTGCTTCTTGGCATCTTGCTGCACAGGATGATGCACTGACTGCTCCCAAGCACAGGAATGCAACCCTTGGTACCTGGGTTAAAATCTGCCCTCGTTTCTGTAACAATGTCTTGGAGCTCTGGAGGAGTCTGGTTCTGTTAAAGAAGCCAGCTCTTTGGATAGTGCACCTCAGGCTGAAGAGGACTGCTTTTGCCCCGAAGGCCATCATAGTCATGATGTGTGTTATAGCTCAGTCCAGGAGGTGAATTGGTCCACATGTGCCTGTCTTCAGCAAATCATCAGTGAAGCTTATGAAGATATGTTTTCTCCACGCATGCAGGACCAACCATAACAAGAAAGAAATATTCTCGACTGATGCTACATCAATAAACAACATTCATCTACGAATCCATGCAGCTACTTCAATCGTCTTGCATTGCTCTTTTTCACATAGTCCAGAATTGAGATGATTCATCGTTTAGCAGGCGCAATAATCGTAAAAACACCATCCATTGGCATTGAAGACAAGAACATGAAAACATTAGAATGACAGCCGCTTCACTTCCGGGTGTGACGTAGTACCGACTAGGTCACGTGACTACGTCTTAAAGGCGAGCGTTAAAGAAAAGAAAGAAACTTAGCAGTGGGGGGGAAACAAGAAAACAAAAACAGCTGGTTATCCGCCAATTCAAGACGGGTTTGTTTGTTCGTGTGTGCTCACTAGCTGTGTGTCATAATGTGTGTTTAAGATTTACAGAAAAGCATTTATTTTAGAGAGGAGACCAAGCGAAGCTGCAATGAACACTTAGTTGGTCCCTGGAGTAGTTTAAGTTAACTAAATGCTGAACTACTATCTCCTACTACAACTAGACTGCACATAAACAGTATACTAAAAATAAAAAAAAAATAAAACTTTTTTTTTTAAATACATGCAGTGACGGCAACTGCCCTGCAGATGGAGACATATCCCAAAGTATTCGCTGTGCTCGACAAGGTTCACCTCCTAAAGAAAGCCAAAGGTATGGATTGGGAAATAACCTATTTGGGGAATTAAATCGAGACTTATTGAAGTTTTTCCACAATACATAAAGAAATAGCCTACTATTAGCCATTAAAAAGTGGACTCTTGGTTTCGATAGCATGTCGGCTGTAAACGACAGGAAATGAAACACCTACACATTCTAGTTGTGCTGTTGATTTGTTGTTGACAGGCAGAGTGAAGTTTACAGTATGTGGTCTTTGCATTAATGGAAGTGGCACTTAAAGGTACTTCCTGGTTGGGTTGCTTTGTGTTTTCCTGAACAAAGTTTCCCAGGTGATCTCAGAGCAGTTTTATTATTTTTGGTAGGGATGTCTAAGGCAGTGTCTGGCTCATAAAGGAAAGGAGGAGGCAGGAAACAAAAGACAGCCTGGGTTTGATTTTTATTGTCGTTTCCTCTGCTAAAGCCGTAGGTGTTGCAAATAGCCGGCCATGCACCATCAAGGACTGAGAACGTGTCCCAGCCCCGTTCCCAGTCACGGTGTGAGTGCCCTGGACACTAGGCTCAGTACGCTCCCAGGATCCCAGCTGTAGGCCTGATAGAGGACTAAGCTACACAATAAGGTAGGATAAACGCCAAACAGATGTTACTAGCCCCCACCTCTCTCTCTGCCCCCCCCCCAACAACCATTGATCGACAAGCCAGGCCTTTCAGATCTCTCTTGCATTTCAAAGAGAGGTCAGGGTTTGGGCTCAGAGGTCAGCAGGATGGTTGCTCTGCTGAAGTGATGCTGGTAAAAAAAAAACTTTATGTAGGCTGCTCAGTGAAATGATGCAACAGAGAGGCAGCCACATTCTTTTGCATAATGATGCTTAGCTGTGAAGTACATCTATGTGTCGCTCTATTAAATCACAAGGCAACCAAACCGGGATACATTATCAGTCAGGAATATTTTAACAGCTGAATATAATTTAGAACTGCTGGAGTATTTACACACTTCCAGACGTACAAATAGATTTTTTTTTTAAACTTTTCACACTGAATTTTCTTACAAATTGTTGCACGAGTTACTTGGCTGTTCTGGGACTACAAGTAATTAGTTACTTGATAACTTATTTTGTCTAAACATTATAATCACGATCTTCATATTGCATTTTTAATGACAAAATCCAGAGTTATCCAGTTGGCAGTCATAGACTACAGAGAAAAGAAGCCTATCCTAACAAGTGACAAACCTGTACTAGCATGTTTGGCATTTTACAAATAAATGTCCCTAATTGTTGAAATAGTTGCTGACTGATTTTATTTTAACCCAACCAATTCATAAACCAATCAATTTATTTTCAACCTCCATGCCCCAACATTAGTTTACTATTGTAGATCACATCATATTGAGGAAAACATTTCAGTCTGATAAGTCACTTTATTGGCTGCACTTCAACATAAAAGTGCATTCTCTAGGCTTAATGTCATAACATAAAACATAATCCACTAGCCACATCTTTATGAATGACATGTTCTCTATAAATAATTCAGGATTGGAAAACAGTTTGTCTGTAAAAGCATAGATGTGTAATAATAGACTTGCCCGCGAGGTCCTGTGGGGTTGAGCAGGTTAATGATTATCCCACTGGTCATCAGTAAGCATGTCCAGTCTAGTTTCCTGCTCTCTCTCTTTTTTTCCCTTTACTCTTTCCTCTGAAACATTGAGTGCCTCGGCAGCCCTGGGCCTGCTGCTAAGCTAGAGCCAACAGTTTGTTTTCCCTGAGCAGAAGTCAGTGGTAATCAACCCAAACACTGCCAAACCATTTTCTGACACAGCATTCAGCACACTGCACTGGTGCTTCTACACTTCTGTAGATGTTGTTGACAAGCACATGTCAACAAATAAACAAAAATGTTACCGAGATAAAATAGATGAACATGTTGTCCCCTCATTGAGACAGAAGGAGGGGGACCTTGGGCTTTTAATTGGCTCCCACAGGAGGCTTTTATTTATGTGTTCAGTTGTGCTCAGCTTTGCCCCTTCCTGCTCCGTGCCTTCCTTCTTTTTTTTTGTTGAGCAGGACACTCGGTTTCCTCGGCAACTAGGGCTCCAATCGCCCCGGCCAGCTGCAGATTAGTTCAGTGGTGGGGGGGGGTTGTGGTGGGTGGGAGGAGATGTGAAGGGGGGTGATGATGGAAAATGGAGAGGGAGAGAGAGAGAGAGAGAGAGAGAGAGAGAAGGGAGCAGGAGAGAGGGGGGTGGGAAAAGTTTGAGGAGGGGAGAGAGGAAGAGAAGGAGCCACTAGCGTCAGTGAGAGATAGGAGTCCGAAATGAGTGAGTGTGCTTGAGAGTGGAGAAAGAGCTGTAAACATTTTAAACCCTGAGGCTGGACAGGAGGAGGGATTTCCCTGACTTTGTGCCCTTTGCAAACTTTTTTTTTTGTGCCCTTGCGGAGCTGTGTCTTCTTCTGTGTGGGAGGTACAGGCAGGGGCTATGCAAAGTAAAAGAAGTCAGAGGCAGGGGTAGGGGTTTGCAAACCGTGGAAAGAGAGAGAGAGAGAGAGAGAGTGACAGAGAGAGAGAGAGAGGAAAGAGAAAAGGAGCTACCCTGCAAGAAAAGAACCATGCAAGTGGATGCTGTCTTCTGCAGGATCAGATTACACAAAATGAGAAACTACTCTAGGAGCACATCATCAGGGCTCAGCCAGCTCAGAGAGGTAATGTGTTTCTGATTCTCTTTAAAATGCCCACAAAAACAAAGGCAGCAAAGTTGTTGTAAAAGAGATGTTTGTTTTTTGTTCAGCCTGTTGAGCACAAAGAAATGTAGTTGATACACTTTCTGACTTTAGACAGCAATCAACCCAAGTTGTCTGCTCAGTCTGAAGGTTTTCATAATACTTAGGGCATGTGCATCCACTTATGTGCAGCATAGATGTACATCATTGTGTATGACCTTGATTGTTCAGCAAGCGTGTGTGTGTGTGTGTGTGTCCATGTACAGAAGGTACATCTGTTGCCTGTTGAAAGCACTATGGACATGGATGTGTTTTTTTTTCTGTGTTTATTTGGGCCGTATTTCAGTACTGGCTGCTTTGGCTCCAGTTAAAGGATATCTAAGTGTTGCTCAAGGAGCCGCTCTCAAACTGTCTGCACCAAGTCCATTACGGTTGCCCACAAGAGACTCACTGAAGTCTCTGAGCACACGTGAGCACAAACACACAAACACACACACGCGCGCACACACACACACACACACTGAATGGCTGTCAGCTCTCATCTGCTTATTAAATGAAAACAAATGTGTAGATAGATGGTTTGGCGGCTTCTTGGATTACAGTCACAGTGCAAACTCAAACCATCACATTCCAAACCGGCTTTTTGAGGGGACGAGAGAAAAGGAGAGAGGATAAGTGAGATGAGCATTCTTCGTGAACAAAGGCACCTCTTCATGCGGAGGTCCAGGGCCTGCATTGTTGTGAGGAGGCAGGGCAAGGGCGGAAACCTCCCCAGGGAGGACATGGGAGTTCAGCCTCAGGTGGCACAGAAACGTCAACTTTTCAGAGATTAGACGTAGACATGTGTTAATAGATTCATGACTGACCATGCAACTCTTAAGTGAAAAAAAAAAAATCCTAGAAGGGTTATGAAAGACAGAATGGGTGTCAAAGATTTTTTTTTTGAAAACATTGCATTTAAGTCTTTGGTTAGTTCCTGATGGTTACATTTTGAACATTGAATTAGCAGGACATGCAGGAGGTTTTTGTAGTATGCAGAAAAAATGGATAAAAAAGCATAAATAGTGACAGAAACAGTGGCTTAATGGACACTGAGTTCATGTCAAGTATTTTTAAACTAATGAATGAATGAAAAAAAAACACAATTACCGGTAAGCCTTGTGATGCCTGGCCAATATATTGAAGTAAACGACAATAAAAGCAAAGACCAATTGCTAAAAATGGAAAAAAAAAACAAAAAAAAAACACCCTGAGTGACTGTTTGATTGTACGTTACAGTTAGAATATTATGTTCCAAGAGAAAAAGAAGGACAATGATTCACATCCTTTAATCACAAGCAATTGCATGACTAGTGAGTGGAGTTTTTATTGTAAACAATTACAATTGTGTTTGGATTTTTCGGCAGAATGCACCCTAACAGCCAACCAAACATCTGGAATACATTTCTTATCTCATAAAATATTTTTGATGTTTTCATAATGTCCAGAAAGATTGTGAAATTTGCAAACCCATTGTCTTCTCCTCTCTAGGGCTGCATTGTTACATTTCTGACAACATGTCGAGCTGCAGGGACAGTTTTTACAGTTAGCATTATTAGACGTGGCTTATTTACGAGGTCAACTGCAGTTTTGTTTGCCAACACATTGGGAAAGTTAATATACCGGCCTGAGTGCTAACTGATGTTTTACAACTGCTGTAGGATTGTAGTACCTTATAGGAAATGTTTCCAACATTGTTGCTTTAGCTAGTTAGCCATCTCCTATCATCTAAAAAAAAAACACAGCTTTAATATTTATTATGGCTGCCACTAGAAGCTGCTGTTTAAAATGGGCAAAGAAACTAATATAATTTATTTTGTCACGATGACAGCAAACAACAAAAGCACAGTGTAAGCATGTAGAGTGTTGAGGTGGTCAAAGCTGACAAAATGTAACCAGTCATTGATTAATGATCTCAAACGTAGTGGCTGTACTATTTTAAGGTTAAAGTGAGGCTTTTTAATCGCAGTAACAACGTGAAATAAAGCAGTTGAAGCAAAAGAAAACAATTCCGCATTTATCATCTATTCATGTGCTCACATGCAGGACTTCAGGAGAGGCCTTGAGCTAGGCTGCAGCTTGAGCGAGCTCAGCCTCTTCTGCCGAGCTTGTTTAAATGTAAGACTCCTTCAGCGAGTTGAGCAAGGCCATTGCAACAATGATCGCGGTTACACCACATACAAACAAGGTACATCGTATAAGTGTTAAAAATGCAGGCGGAAAGGAAGAAAGGATGTCATATTATGTATGTCAGATGTTCTACCAATGGTCAGAAACACCACCAGACACCTTAGAGCTTGAAGCAAATCCATGGATCGGTTTAGTTTTTTTTACCCGTGTGTTTTGAATCTCTTCATTTGAGTCGAATGCTGCTCTGTTGAATTGCCATACCAGAGTCCAGCAGGAATGTCTGCTGTGTCCTATAGGCAGTGACCCTTAAGAGATGGTTATCATTCAGCCTCCGTAATCCATCTCAGCAGTTCCTCAGGCCTTTAAGTTCAGTTTGCTTGGCAATGATTAAACCCAAAAGAGGGATCCATTGAACATGCACATCCACACTGGGACATTTGATTGCATTGTTGTTTTTTTTTTAATGTGATAGACGCTGTGATAGACGGCCTCTTAAATGCAGTGTTATTTTCATGTTGGTATAAATGAACAGCTTCAGCAGGTTATTAGGAGTTTTACCGACCACAAATCAACATTCCTCTGCTCTCCTGTGTCTGTCTGTCCTTAGGTTGTATTTACTCAACTGGGCAAGGTTGAGAGTTTATTGAATTTAGCCTGGCTGACTCTCTGGCGCTGTGTAGAGAAGGTTTATAGAGTTGGAGATAAAGAGACAGGGACTGGCTGTCTGCAAGTCAGCACGGTTGTAATAAGCAGGCTGCAATCTTGTAAAGGGGGCTCTGGTGTGTGTTACCAGTGTTGCCATCACACACATAATGTTCTGTCAGATTGGGTCAGTTGTTTACGTTCTGAGTGAGGGGCAGAGGCTAACTGTCTGCATGACTGCTGTGCGAGACAATGTGCACTGTGGCGGAGGAGAGGGTATTTGTGACCTTGGGTGCATCACTCAATCGTTCTCCCCCCTGTGATTCATTTTACCCTCAGAAATACACTCATTTATTCTCAAGGCACCGTCTTAAATAGTTTTATGTTTTCCTCATGTTTCTGTTTCCTTTTTCTTTCATTCCAAACCAAATCACTGACACACTCATACTCATGGCATTCTCTCTTAGTGAATGTCTTTCACACTCTGTGACTCAGGACTTCTCGCACACTCACTGGCATAAACACCCGCAACACATGCAACACATGCAACACACGGGGGACTTAAAACTTTACTCGGTGGGTTTTTTTTTTTTCCTTTTCTAAGCATGCTTTGTAAGGAGGAAAAAAGTCAAGTCCTGAAAACTCAAACACCAGATCTTGAGTATCATGACAAGCCTGTCATCTCTCACAACTGAATCAGCATTTTCTTTTCCCCTTGGAAGTTTGCTGAGGTGGAGGAATCGGTCTTGATGATTGGTATGAGTCACTTGAGAGCATGTTTCATCCAGGAAAACAGAGCTCAGCTCCAGACTGACACTATGGGTTTGATTTACAAAAAGTTAACTATTAGATGCCTGTTTCAAATGTAGCCACAACTTACACTGACTTTTAATGAATACGTTAAACAGGGATGGGCAACTTTGTGTCAAAGAGAGGGCCTCAATCACCCTGCCAGAGGGCCGAAATTGTAGGACACTCTTAAGTAGACAACTATGATTACTTATTATGTAATCAAAGGAACAAATATCTAGCTTTCATCAGCATTGATTGATGCTACCAACATTCATATTTTAAACTCAAATGCAATTGTAAATGCTCGATTTTATGTGATAAATACAAAATTAAAGACATGTTAAGTTTTTTTTTTCCAAAGCCATAAATAGACTGGCTGTCAAAGAATATATTGCACGGCTAAACAGGATCAAGGTGTCTGCTGTCGAACATTGTCATTGGTTTGCTAAGTGTGGCTTTCATTAGCAGTGCTAGCACCACAAGCCTTGTATGTTGTTGTCCACATGGCTGTTATGTATGGCTCCTGTCGAGTGGTTACATACCAGCTCAACTCACCTGACTAAGCCGCCATACTACTTTATCTGAATCAAAATACTTCCAAGCAGTTCTGACAAGCTGCTGTCTGTGAACTGCGCTGGTATATATATCTGGGTAGGAGAGCATTATGGCAATACTGCAATAGCCATTAACCAGAGCTTCAGCTTAGACACAACATTTGATCGCTATTGCAGGCATGAATTCATCAAACTATTTTAAAACTTTGTTTAAGTGACTAATTATTCTGGTGCCGACATACAAGGTAGATGTTTAACTGTTTAGTTGACTTGTGTGTGTGGTGGTACGTGGGTGGGTGTGTGGTGTTTGTGGGCGTGCTTGCATACCTAAAAATAGTTGACTTCTTCTTTGTTCCACATTCAGCTACAGGGGACCAACAAAGAGGGGGCAAATTTAAGGTACCCAATAGGTCATACTTGTGCAAAAGCGTGTTTCAGAAACCCTCTTTTTTTTTTAACCTTACTAGTCTTGAGACAATATGAGCGTACTTTAACTTTACTTTCAAAATGTTCAATCCTAAAATATTTTCCAGTTCAGTTGTCCCACCCATGGTTTTTAGATGCTTCTCAGTCTTCACTTGTAAGAATGCAATTTGTTTGTTGATGCACATTACCACACAAAAAGGCCTACACTTTGTTGACTAATAGTCCACTGATGTATTAAGTGTGTGTAAGTGTAAGTTTGTGTGTGTGTATGTGTGTGTGTGTGTGTGTGTGTGTGTGTGTGTGTGTGTGTGTCTGGTAATGGATGGAGCCAGTGAGATTTTTCTTCTCTATTCTTTTCTGCTCAGTAAAGTGACAGCAGGACTTTAGGACGTTACAGCC